GATTTCCCTGCTGGGGACGGTCCTGCCCCGCGCTCACCTGATGTAGCCGACCTGGGGCCGGTGCTGCAGGAACCAGCGGTACGAGGTCTTGTCCTTCCAGCCCGAGTTCCTGGGGTCCTTCCAGAGCAGCTTCACCTGGTCCGTGGTGTCTCCCGTGTGCCACAGGGAGTTCCGCAGGTACTCCCCAGGGCCCGTTTTGGATTTCACTGCCTGGGACAGAGGAGAGCCCGCTCAAGGCGTGCACAGAGGATTCCACACAGCTGCTGAGCCCGAGGCAAAACTGCAGCAGGGAATTCCTCCTGCGGGGCTCCTGTACCTTCAGCTGAATGCCAGGCTCTGCCACTGCCCGGAAGGGGTTGGCCTGCCAGTAGGTCTGCTCCATCTGCTTCCACATCACCACGTAGAAGCTGGAGCTGTCCTGGTAGCCAAAGATGAACCCGGCGTAGTCGTCGTCCGTGGCCGTGTTGACGTGGAAGGTGCCCTCGAAGTCCACCCCGTTGAAGGCTGTGTACCCTGTCAGGGCCGCAGAACAGAGCCAGGACTCAGCTGGAGGTGGATTTTGCCAGGGGGAATCTGAGCTCTGTGCGCTACAGGAAGCGGGAGGGAGTCACGGAGCAGTGGCTGATCAAAGCTGCAGCGAGTGATGATTTCCCAAAGGGAGAAGGGAAATTCCTCACCTACAGCCAGGCCCGGGTCGCTGTTCATGGTCTGCACAATCTCCATGCCCTGAGAAAGAGGAATGGTGACTCTTTAGTGCAGCTCCAGACACACCAAACTCCCTCTTGTGCTGCCCCAGGGCTGTCACGGGGATTTGGGCGCTGCAGAACCACGGAGCCCTTGAGGCAAAGCCCCAGGACTGTTCCCAGCCGGGCTCTCCCCACCTGGTTGAGGACGATCCAGTTGGGGTCGATCTGAGCGTCCCCCTCGGGGTCCAGCACCACGGTCTGGAAGGCCCTGAAGTCGGTGAGCGTCACCTCGGCGTTCTCGGGGCACACGTCGATCCTGTCGATCACCATGTCCCTGTCGAAGTCATCCTCGCACAGGTTCCCCACGCCGTCCCCTGGGCACGAGGAGGAGGAGGAGGAGGAGGAAGGAGCCTGGAGCAGCAGCTCCTGCCCTGGCTTTGCTCAGCCTCGGGCAGCACCAGGGGCACTGAGGGCACCGAGGGCCTGGGGCACCCCGAGGAGCTGCAGAGAAACCTGGAGGCTTCTCCTGCTGGCAGGGAAACCCCTGAAAGCGCAGACACTTCTGGGGGAGAGAACCTGATCCCAAACATGGCCCCAAACCTGATCCCAAACCTGACCCCAAACATGGCCCCAAACATGGCCCCAAACCTGATCCTAAACCTGACCCCAAACATGGCCCCAAACCTGATCCCAAACATGGCCCCAAACCTGACCCCAAACCTGATCCCAAACCTGACCCCAAACCTGATCCCAAACCTGATCCCAAACCTGATCCTAAACCTGACCCCAAACATGGCCCCAAACCTGACCCCAAACCTGACCCCAAACCTGATCCCAAACATGGCCCCAAACCTGACCCAGTGCTGGCACTGTGGGCACTGCAGTGTCCCAGGCCTGGCATGAGTCAGTGCCAACAAAACCCAAATTCCTGCAGCTTCCAGAGCCTGGGGTGACCCCAGGGAGCCCCCAAAGGACCCATCCCTCCATCCCTCACCATCCGAGTCCTCCTGGCCGGGGTTGGGCACCAGCCTGCAGTTGTCGGGGCCGGGGGGTCTGAAGTCGGGGATGCCATCGTCATCATCATCCTCGTCACACTCGTCCCCCAGCCCGTCCCCGTCCGTGTCCACCTGGGAGCTGTTGGGCACCGTGGGGCAGTTGTCCCGCGAGTCCTGGTGCCCGTCGCCGTCACTGGGGGAGAGGGGACAGGACAGGACAGGGACAGGGACAGGGACAGAAACAAGGACAGGGACAGAAACAAGGACACGTCACCCACGGCCACCAGCATGGGGAGCACCCCCGGGGCTGGGGCTGCAGCTGCATCCGGGATTTCAGCCTTGGAGGGCACCCCAGGGATGGCTCAGGAACGGTGGAGGGTCCACCAGAACTGGCTCCATGTTTCAGAAGGCTGATTTATTATTTCATTATATTCTATGTTTTGAATTTCATAATATAGTCATCATATCATATCATATCATATCATATCATATCATATCATATCATATCAATCATATCATACATGCTATACTAAAACTACACTAAAGAAAGAGAAAGGAGACATCAGAAGGCTGGAAAAGAATGAATAATAAAATCTTGTGACTGACCAGAGAGTCTGACACAGCTGGCTGTGACTGGCCATTAATTAACAATAATCCATGTGGAACCAATCAAAGCTGCGCCTGTTGGTGAGCAACCTCCAGAGCACATTCTAAGCCATCAGATAATTGTTGTTCACATTTCTTTTCTGAGGCTTCTCTGGAGAAAAATCCCAGTGAAAGGATTTTCATAAAATATGTCAGTGACATTCCTGCTGGAAATGGAGCTCTGGGATCTGCTTCCTTCCAGGGGTCACTTTCTGTGAGGCTTTAAGAAAATTTCACCTCTAAACCATTTTTTATAGGGTAAGGCCAAGCCAGGTTTTCACAGCCTTTTGGTCCCTTCATTCCCATGATTTCATGCAAATAAACAGAATTTTTAATTTCTGCAGCTCACCTGTCCTGGTTGGTGTCACAGACATCTCCCACCAGATCGTGGTCAGTGTCTTTCTAGAGAAATAAAGGAAGAATAATTTAAATTTCCCAGAGGAAAAGGCAAGGAAGAGAACAGAGAGCTGCCAACAGCTGTGGGATTTTTTGGGGGGATCCTGAGGAATTCCAGCAGTGGGGCAGGGCAGGAAGGGAGAGCCCAGAGCGCCAAATCTCCTGATCTTTGCTGCGGAGGGGGTTTCCTTCTGTGGCACAGCAGGGCGGCAGCTGGCACTGTGCCCTGGCACGGGTGGGTGCCAGGAGGGGCTCGGGCACCTGGTCGGGGTTGCTGAGGGTGGGGCAGCTGTCACAGGCGTCCCCCACGCCGTCGCCGTCGCCGTCCCTCTGGTCAGGGTTGGGCACTCTCCTGCAGTTGTCCAGGCTGTTCCTGATCCCTGCAAGACAGGCGAGAGCCAGCAGTTCAGGGCTGGGGTGGTGTTTGCTGCCATTCCTGGCTGCTGGGAGCAGCTCAGGCTCCAAACCCCAGGGGACTCCCCCAGCCTCGAGCCAGGAGCTGCTGCCAGCTCGGATATTCCCAAATTTCTCCCCTAAAATGCAGCACAAGGCAGCCAGGACGAGGCTGGCTGTGACCGTGTGCCACTGTCACATTTTCTGAAAAATCCCTTCCCAGGATTTCCTCTCCTGGGAAGCTGAGAAGCCTCAGAGAAAAACGAAAACAATTCTTAGCTCATTTGCCTTTCTTATGTTTTGCTGCTTTGGAATGTGTTTGGAGATTGTTTGATTGGTTTAATGCAAATTGTTTTAACTGAATGACCAATCAGGGTCAGGCTGTGTTGGGACTCTGGAGGGAGTTA